CCCTTAATCATGATGTTCGTAGCCGACTTGGATCTACCGACTTTTCTTTTCTTGCCATCGTAGTACATTTCCAGATCGGGTTCGTCCTTGTGGCCCATGCGTCTCCATTCATCCATTATATGGTCTGTGCGTTTTAAAAAGTTATCGATCTTTGTGGATAAGTAATTCGAAGACGTTCCTTCCTCCAAATACGCCGGCTGCGGTTTGAATCTCTGTCGCACCGGCTGCTTCTTGCATCCCAATACGAAGGATAGATTGGCATCGAAAACGACGGGAGCTTGTTCCTTTGATCTTAACTCTTTCAGGTCCATGCTGTCGTGGTGATCGCAGGATTGCGGGTACATTCTTCTCGGCGTTGGACTCCGAAAGGAGGAATTCATGCTGGATGATCTTGATAGTGGTACAAAAGTCCCATCGCTGCTGCAAGTAGAATATTGGCTAGCTGAACTTTTGATGCTACTATAGGATGGGCTGGGCGATCGAGATAATATTGTGCTCCCGGAACTGTGGCGTTTCGCTAGTTCAGCAATAGAACCAGTCTCAACTGAAAGAGATACGCTTCTTTTGTAGGATGGACTGGGAGATTTGATACGTAGACTTTCTGGAAGACTTTGTGGAATAGCGCGAACTTCTTTCAGCGGCTTGGTGACGAAGAGTTTCTTACCGCTCGTAACAGTTCCTGCCGTTTTGGGAGGTACTCTCTCTTGAAAGTTTATCGGTAGTGTTTTGGTCTTCCTCACTGGCAATATCTGTCTAGCCACAGGTGGCTTCGGTGGTTTCTGCGGCGTTGCATCCAGGATGGGCGAAAGTGGGCCGTTGGAGTCAGGCGATAGCATTCCATTTGGAGTAGCAGTCCCATTGGTTCCATTGTGGTTTCCATTTTGTTGCGGTATATCGATGCTCAGTTGTTTAACAGTCCCCGGCGTTATGTTAACGTGCGGCATCTTGTTTAAATGCGTTTGCGTTTTCTCGCGAAGCGGAAGTGTTTCCCACGGTGCAAGACCAGTGCCATTTCAGTGTGCAGTATTACTGTCGCGGGCGATTTCGGATGCGTCGGGACATCGTTTGGAAATAGAACCGGCGTGAGACGGATCTGCGAACGCACTGCGCTCGGTAACTCGGTCGCTGGGCAGTTGCCCGCGCGACTATTTTAGTTTTTGTAGATGTCGAAGTGCATGCTCAACGATGGCTTGGACCTTCGTTTACTTTTGAACAATTAACAAATGATGAGCTTACTTGTTAGAGTTGAAGTATAAAGATAAGGAAAAATAATTCTGTATGTATATCCCTTTTACCTAACTTTGTAGATAAGACTGGTTTGAACTAATGACGAATAAAACTATTTAATAATTCCTGAGAATTCAGACTAAAGATCTTCCATGTCTTGAAACAAAGTATAGTCTGTGTAAATGAATCTATTTATAAATAACTGTAGTCAAAAGTGCCGTCACTTTTTTTAATTCGAGAGATAGATAGTCTAGAATCAATTCTTAGACATTTATACTTTTCCTTGTAATTTTTGACGCGAAACAGTAAATCGTGTGAATATAAACAAATTCTTTCAAGATCAACGCCTTCCCCTTGAATTGACTTTACGAAATTGTAAACACATAAAGTCTCAATTTATGTCTGACCCCTAACTTAGGTAAGCTAAATTTGAGACGATGAAAATAGATATTCTGTGGAAATTGAAGCCGAAATAATTTACCTACTTCTATTTCCTGCTTACGTCTCTCGCGGCCTTCAATAACATTGCAATGAGGTTTCCTGTGCTGGTATAGACGTGAATATTAAGGGGTTTCCGTTTAAATATTAAGACAATTTACTAATATTTTTTAATGATGTAAAAATATAGCAAATGTAATTAAAATATACATGTAGTGGTGTATACTAAATAGGCAAATATAAATTGAGAAGGTAAGATAAGGTAAGAGGCGTTGAGAAGGTAAAATTTGACGGTGTACTACGATGGCTTTGGACATTTGTTTGGCCCGTCTTTTTGTTTCACTTGTAATATTTTCCTTAAGTTTTACTTAAAGCCAAAGTGATCAACGTAAAATCAAAGATAATCCCAGCATAGATGTGTGGATAAACAATGTTATCTGCCAATAGTTCGGCCCGTTGCACTGATGGCTGAACCATTAGCCTACATCCGTCGTTCTTATGTAACTAATGCGTAACAGTGTTCTTTTAACAGTTATATTTTAAGAACCGGCCACGCAAAAGAATAAAGATTCGATCTATATTTTAAAAAGTAGTAATTGTGATAAATATTTGGGAGGATCTTAATATTGTATAGTGGTAAAAAGGAGAGTACATATATGAGCACTCAATCTTAGATACTCCAGGTTCAAAACCGCTGGAAGAATAAGATAAATATGTGATTGTATAATAGATCCTGATCTACTTTAACTCGGGGTAGGCCCGAAAAATGTGACTAAGTAAATTAAAGTAGTAAAATTCTCAATATTAATAAATAATATTTTTATTAACCGAGTTGATAAGATAATAGAAAACGACACAAAGATTCTAAGAGATCAAGAAAATATTTTAATAAAACAATATAATTTAAATATTTTTAAAGGAAAACACGTCCATTAATATTTCGGAATTACCTTAAGATTCGCACGTTTAAGTAATTTATACAAATCCAAGATTAAAAACACAATTTAAGACTTCAAAAACATACCCGATGCGCTTCTTGCATTTACATATCATGTGAAGAATATATTTAAGCCAAATTAACGTATTCCAAGAAACAACAAAACGAAGATAGCACGTCAAAGGAGACTCACAAGAAACTAAGGGAATCGTAACAATTAAAAACCAGTTTAGCAAAGTACTGAGTTTGACCGTGTTCCTTGCGTACAACATTGTATTACGAATGTATAAACGCATTTTAATTTCGTCTGCATTTTGCAATAACTGTTGTTGATGTTTAAAAAAAATACCGTAATTACTATTTATTTAACTCATCATGATTTATAGTACTCCATCGCATAAGATATTTTTGGATGTGTTAATCATGTAGTTCGGGTCTCTCGGAAGTCGGTGTGGATTGGTGGTGATAATTGACTTATAATAACAGCAATCCAAGACTACATAAACTGCTTTTGTTTAGGAGAGTTTTAAAAGAAAGACTGCTGACAAAGGAGATATATACGACGGAATGGGGGCGAGTAAGAATATATTTGAATCCTGTGTAATATTGTGTCTTGTTGCTTTTAAAAAACTAATAATAATAAATAAGATTTATATGAATACTAGCGAGGCAATATTATATTTTAACTAAATAATTACTTTTAATCTTAATTTAGTCAATCTCAATTTTCAATAATCAAAAACGATTTCCACTATGTGCGAAAATAGATTATTTGTAAAGATGTGAAACATACTAATGTGTGTGTATTACAACAAAGATCTACCTATTTTTCTGTCATACTGATAATGTAGGTGCTGTTAGTCTAAAATTAGTTCTTCTTTTAAATATAACGGGCACAAATAAGCTTTGAATAACATGTGTTTGTATTAAATGTGAACAAACAATTTTCAGAATAGTAATGAATGTCACCGTTTTATTTTTAAACTCTCGGTCAAGGTACACATTCTGTGCTCTTACAACACATTAAGATATTTTGAAATTGAACATTACACATCTCATTCTTGCAAACGTTTAAATATGGAAAGACAGTTATTTTTAACAGAGAAAAAAAAAATATTTCGGTTCTAGCTGTCTAGTAACATAACTATTTTAATCTTATTTTTCATTAAAATTTAATAGTCTGTTTACTTCAAAAATCGAATATCTTAGATATGCAGACAAAACTTACGTGCATTTATAAAACATAGATTATGTCGCCTAGATACAACCACAGATTCACAGCACACACGAAAAACAAAACACACAATCCCACAGACTGGCGAAGGCACATTGATGTTTAAGTCGACAAATCCCTAGGCTCAAGGAGAGCTTGTTATCATCAGTTGCTTATAAGTTTATAACGGTACAGTCATCTTAAATGTACAAAGAATTTATGCAACGTCTTTCTTGAACCAGAATGCACAACCTGTCGATAGACTTATAGACCTTGTCAATGATTAACGAAATAATCGTAAGTACTTATGTACCATTTCAAAACAAAAAAACAAACTTAGACAACCACTAATAAGTGTGTTATTTCATTTTTTAGTAACATATACATTTATAAAACGGTTTAAATCGCGAAATATATTAGTTACCGCCTGTGACCACGGCTGTTGTAAACCATCCGGTAAACCGGGTCGTTGTTAAAATATGTTACGTGAAAGTGTAGTGTTTTATTTAAATGTGCTGTTCCTGTAAACAGTACCTAAAACATATCTATCTATACTAATATAAAAAGCTCTCAAGAACGACAAGTTCGAATTGAAGAAATATTTTTGTGTTGGTTAGAGCATTTATTGAGAAGGCTATATAGGCTATAAAACATCGCGCTGTAACGAAGAGCAAAGATACAAATTGTTCATCTCTGTGGGCTTCAGATGCGTACGCTGCGAAAACGGTTTAAGATACCTAAATAATAAATGTGTATAAAAGAATGATTCTTCTTTAAATGTTCTAAAAAAAAGCCCACGACGCTATATCTCTCTCTTTTAAGATTAACTTGCAAAACGGGGAAGGGACGCGATCAACGTCATGGCTAACAACTTAAGTTTATTAACATGACGGGGGAAGACGAAAAGAAACAACGGGAAATGTGAAAAATGGGGCAAATGATTGGGCGATCCTTGTGAGTTTTCGTTGCGTCGAGCGAAAACTGTTCAATATACCCAAAATATGTATGAAAGAATGATTCCTCTTTAAATTACCTAAAAAATCTCTTTTAAGATTAAGTTGCAAGAACAGCGGACGCGGACGACGTCGTGAGCGACAGCTATAAATTGTGAAGATGAGAAGGTTTGCAAAAATTTTGATGACCAAAATAACTATCCAACACGGACGAAGTCGCTGGCACAGCTAGTACATGATAAACAGAAAACTATTTTTAAAACAAAGTCGCTTTTTCTGTCCCTATGTATATACGCTTAAATGTTTAAAACTACGGATTTTTTTTAAATAGATAGAGTGATTCAAGAGGAAGGTTTTATATACAACATTCACAGTGTACTTAGTAAGCATTGCACGTGAGCGAAGCCGGGCGGGTCGCTAGTAGTATATAACAGAAGTAAAGACATTCTTCTTCGTCCTCAACGTTCTTTAAAAAAAAAGAAAACGCATTTTGTACTCGACTATCTCGTTTAATAGCACGTTCCTCATCACTGAGCATCATTGCCGATAATCAAAACCCATTGTTTCGTTTGCTGCCCGTCTGTACTTTGGATTTATTGATTTGTAGCATTGTTATGGTATGACATTCTGTATTGACATTTTAGGACTTCTACTGAAAATTTTACAAAACTCTTTTTTATTTAAAAAAATAACACTGAAAGTATGTATATCAATTACTGTCGAGAGTTCTTTACAAATGCGTTGGGAGAAGAAATTGTCCTTTATTTTTACGATTATTTTTTTACGATGATTTTTTAAAATACAAATATGTTTTTACTTTGTCATAAGTGTTTAAAATAAAGATAATTGTGGAAAAGATACTGATATACACACACCTACCATGTATTATATAGCATATATTTCTCACAGTCCTAATTAAATGTTTCGGTCGGGTGGGACACTAAAGTCTAATCAACTACTTGGTAAAATAAAATTAGTGAAACAGACACAGAAGTGTGTTCGTCCCTTGCCTCACAGGGCGAAAGGGGATTTCGCCATATAATTAGCCCATTTAAAATAGTGCTAAAAAACTGTTAATTATAACATTAGCCGAACGATTCCTCAGGTACAATCAAATGAAAAAACTAGTCTTAATCGAAGCCTGTTTGGTGACAAGAAAAGTTGTAGATCGGTCTGCTTTTGCCTTAACACCTGTTCAAGTGTCATTGACCCTGGCAAGGTGCATCAGTTCGAATCCCGCGCGACAATATTGTTCAGCGCTATAATTCGGTTCCCAAGCTTTTTATAGCTTCGGTGCAGGGAAATTAGTTATAGCTTTGTTTGTCGGATGACAATGATGGAATTTTTCTATCTACGTGAGACCGAACGGAAGATGAGAAGTTTCAATTTGTAGTATGATCGGCATTTATAGTGTTACCGTTTTTATATCGCATTCGGCGTTTCAACTGATTGAAATAGGATTGATTATTATGTACCGCACTTGTAATAAGTTATTTTTTACACATTTACCGGTTCAAAGCGCTAAAGTTACTTATCTCAAATGTCAAAGTCAAACCTACTACGCTAACACCATCAAACAGATGTCGAGACGACATCATGATCGAATAAATAAATAGATGAAAGCAGATTTGACTTAGAGATGAAAAATAAGTATAACTCGAGTAAACTACAGACAATAGTTACTAATATTTTTGTAATCTGTAGTACCTATATAAAAAAAAGTTCGAAGTATACATCTAAATTCTAAATAGAATAAATATTTGGCTACCAATTAAAATAAACACAATTTGATAATTTTAATAAGTAGGTACTTACTTTTGTCTCGAGTCTCTCATTTTCGCCCTTGTAATAGGTCCGTTCGTTTTCAACCTTGTCGAGTTTCGCCCGTAGTGTTTCTAGTTCCTCCTGTAAAATAACAAAAAAAACAACTCTGATATACTAGTAGCTAGATAAAAAATATATTGCCTTCATCAAAGAGACCGCTTATGTAGCCAAATGGATAAACATATTGCCTAGCATTGCGTTACGCGCGAGAGGGCAACAAAAAGATGTTTCGGTCGGGCAGGGCACAGAAGTCTGATCAACTACTTGCCTGTTAAAGAACAGATAAGTGAAAGTGACACAGGAATGTGTTCGCCCCATGCCCCATGAGAGGGGAATGTCATTTCACACACTTCAACAAAGAGTGTACCTAACCAGTCCTGAGAGAATTAACAACTCGACAAAATATGCCTGGACTTAACTTTAATTCAAACAACGATTAATAATACGTCCCAAACTAATGTAACATGATAATGTTTTCAACACCAACGTTTATACTAATAATCCATTAATATTAACAGCATACTGGTTTCGTAACAAGATTCTACGGAAGTTAGTGCTAACATAGCATCAAGTACGATAAATCTCTTATGTTATTATCAGCTGTATTGCGTTAGAAATAGGGATTAAATTTGTGCGACGTTAGAATGGAGAAAGGCGTTAAATTGATGTGTTCAGGAAAAGTTTTATGTGTGCAGTCATGTGGTAGATAATCGCGACAGGAAATATGAAACATTGTTAAGAGGAATTAATTGATAAGAATCGTATGTGATCAGTTGTGGTAAGAACAGCGGATATGAAGAAAGACGGTGGACAAATCATAAACGTGATCAGCCAGTGTATGAGAAGCTCCCGGGCTTAAGGGAATATCAAATTCTTCTTCTATTAATGATAGAACTACGATTTGACAAATTATGTATATATGACATTGTAATATGACAAATTAAATGAGTCTTAAAGAGCTTCTTCACCGTTGGTTCAGTTCAGTTCAGTTGTTAAAAGTCTTGGGTTTGAATGCCGGTGACACAAACGACTTGGACGCAGAATTCTAAACAATTAATTGCATTTATATGAATTAGCTCAATGAAACGGACACAAATATCTTCGCGCCATATTCCCGAGGGGGATTTCATGTACATGTATACACTAGCTGACCTGGCAAACGTTATTTTAAACACTGTTTGTAGTTTACGTCAGTATACATTTAAATAAAACACTTTAACGGTTTAAAACGCGATGTATACGCGGGGAGTCCCACTGACCACGGCTGCTGCAAAGCATCCGAAACGTCGGGTCGAAGTTAAAAATAATAAGTTATTTTGCCTTATAAAGTATTTACATTTCATTCCCATAAAAACTGTTCTTAAAAAAATAGAGACTAATGCTTTCGCGGACTTTTTTTTTAGATTGTTTTATATACATATATTTTTTCGTGATCTTGAGTCATTTCGTAAAACAGCAAACGGACGCAAGAAGCTCAAAAATTGATAAAAATAATAATAATAAATATATAAAAATCTGTATCTATTAGCATCCAGATGTTTAATAGCCTAAAGCCTTCCTCAATAAATGATCCAATCAACGCAATCATTTTGGCATTCGAACGAGATTTGTGCGTTCAAACAAATAAACATAAAAACTCTTTAAATTTTTAAATTTACTACAGATAGGCTACGCTTAACAAGTATGTATATCCATGATATAACTCCATAATTTACTGTATCGAATTTCTTAGGCTTATACACCGTTACTTCATCGCAATTAGGGGTTGGATGCCAATAAACAAGACCAACAGAGACGTGGGAGGGTCCAGAATCAAGGAACGTTTTCCACTTGATAGACCAGACGTTGAGTGGCCATAACTCTCGGTGATTTTCACTTCCCGGAAACGAAAGCTCACTCAAGAACTAAGTGCGCATTAATCAATTATTGCCTTACTCAGCTTTATCTCGAGTGGGATTGACACTGCCAAGTTGTGTAGATAGGATTTTAATGATTGGTGTCTAGACCACGTTATTGCTTTAAAGACACGAGATTCTATTGAGACGGGCTCGTTGTCCAATGGTGTTTAAACGACGGGTCGTAGGTTTGATTTCCACCAGGTCCAACACGTTTTTAAAACCAATGCAAAAAAATCTGGAATATACTATACTTATACCTAATGAATAACATAATGTCCTAATCACAATCTCCACATGTGGAAAAACGGTAAGTGTTAACGCATTTTGTTTGCAATTTGCGGATTTATAAATGTCCAAAGCCAAAATAGGCCGACGACGTATCTTATTTCAATGATAGGTATATGGTTGGGGTATTTTACTTTTCGTCCAACGTACACCACACTTTCTACCTCTTTTAATCAGTAAGCACAAAAAAAAATAAGGTTATTAATATTTTAAGATAAGTGCCTTAAAAGGATACATAATAACTACTGACATGTAAAAACCAAAAGCGTGGTTTGTACATCAAAGACTACTAAGCAAAGCATACTAAAAACTTAGATAAAAAATACATCATTGATACCAATTATATGATAAGCTTAATATTTATAAATTAAAAACCGAAAATAAATTCCAAAAGTTTCGTTGAATAAGCTGTTGCTATAACCAATTGAACTATCGACGACGACGTGTAGGACGCGGTAGATCAATTAGTTAGAGCACCAGCACGGAACGCTGAGGATCTCGGTTCAATGCCCGAGTAGTAAATTTCTCAATGTATAACTGATTTTTAAGTTATATAGTGCCATCATCTGCCATTCATTACGTGTGAAAAATATGACAGCTTTCAGCACGCATAAGCGTTTAGTTCTAGTTTTATATCTGTTCAATTGACGGCAGATGTAAATAGAAAATTACTGTACGGCCAACAACAGTTACAATCTACCAAGAGATGATGCACCGCAAAACATTGCATTGTGTTCAATCAACCTGTTTCGCTCTATTTCGCTGATCGTTTCACTCATTTACATTATAACTGAGTTGTGATCACAATACATGTTTCATGTGTCATCTAGATTCAAGAGACGCTCCTTATGTGGGCAAAAGCAGAATTGATATTGTGTATTCAATGTTGTGTAAATAAATTAAGTATTATCTGACGCGTATAACAATAGTTTAATTGCCTTACAATTGTTGAAATATTACCTAATTATATATGTATATGATAGATGACAGACGAGCATTTAAACAAGGTGGGTGCGCCGCCAACCTATTTTCACAGCAGGAAATCGACAGTCGATCGAAACGCGATTGTTGAGTTGTAGAAGACGGTGGTTTGAGACCCGGACGATATATCAATTGAATATCCAGATTTCCAGAGGAAGAGCAACGTGTTTAGTAAATTATAAATTGATTAGAAAAATGTTAGACACGGTGGGAATCCAACCCATGACCCATTTATTATTAGCTATATATCGTAACCATCAGATCCCCGTCCCCAAAGTAAAAGGCGTTTGTCCATTTTTTTATTGCGAGTGTCTCATTTCTCTATCTTATCTGACGAGACAAACGTTTCAAAATGTAGTCATACATATTCTTAACAAGTTCGTTGATTCATTTATTTGTCAATTAATTGTTTCATACAATTAATTGACAAATAAATTGTCGAAAAAGTATATAGAGCGAAGAAATATTTGATTTTTATGATTACACTGAATAATAGATCCCGTGTATCTTTTTGCGGTGCAGATTATAAATATAACCACAGACATAGAAACAAAAAACTGACTAGACTGACCTATAAAAGGCTAGACCCAGATGCAACGATTTACGACGCCGTCCGTAAATAAATCGATGCTGTTATTAAGCGATGCGAGACATTAGACCGCGATGATATGTCGCCAGAGATAGATGAAACTGGTCCAAAGCGATCCATATTTGTAGTAGAATAGGTTTTTTCAATCCCTGTTCTGACTGACGCTCACTTGCATAGTCGTGGGAACGCATCCCGTTATTGATACAATCTACTTTGTAGTCTGTGCTACAGTTTACTGCGGACGTTACAGACATTTCTTTATCATAAAGCGATTGCTTACTTTATCTACAACAAATTAACAAATATAGACTTACTCCTCATTCATTTAATTGTGAATTGTGTAATGAAAATACCGCTGATAAATATTTAGAAAACTTTAAAACTTAACGATCTTTTATCCCTAAAATATAACAGTTTTATATTTCGTGTTTTAACTCGTTACACTTGCGTAAACTCGGTAAGTATTTCATAATTCAACCCAAAACCAAAATAGATATCAATATTATAAAGCTGAAGGGTTGGACCATTTATCGGAGAAGGTAACAGACTACAAAACGTCAGACTGCGACCAATAAAAGCAAAGAAACAGTGGAAAACCTAGAATAAACAAAGACAATTATTCATAGATTATTATTATTTATGAACTTCCGTCGCGCACTCTGCGGAAACGGTTTAAGAAAGCAACATATATGTATGAAAAAATGATTCCTCTTTAAATGATCAAACAAAATGTCCGTGACAATATATGTTTATCTAAGTTTAACTTGCAAGAACGATGGGACGCGGACGACGCTTACAAAAAATAACAAAATGACGCCCAAAATGACTTATCCGTATCGTAAACGAGCGGGCACAGCTACTAGCTGTGCCCGCGACCTACATATAACAACCAACTACATTGTCTCTTAATTATTTATCATTGTAAACGAAAACAAAGAAGAGACAACACTCAAGATAAGACTAATAAAAACATAAATAAAACTTTATTTACGTTGTAGGTAAGCATACATCAGAAATATTAACCCGTAGGAATCCAATTAATTTATGAATAACGACAACACTAACAACATATTAGCTAACGACGAGCAAACGCGATTAACTCGTAAATATTGCCCATCGCGAGATAATCAAAGCTTCGTGCAGCCATGCGGAAGTCATTTGGCTATGCGATGCCGCGGGTGTTCGAACAAGTTTGACTAGACTGAACGCATGCGCAAGAAAAGAATTCAATAGATTATGCATATGCGGAAGTTATTTGCATCATTACGGCATGGGTTTAATCAGCAAAACATAGGAACTGAATATTTGTGAGAGTTGTATGCTATTATTACTTACTAGACATATTTTTTATTTATGTGATTATTCCTTATGTTTGAAACGGCTTCACGGTATAATTGCAGGTTTATGCTATAGATATTTAAATTAGCTCGAATTATGAAGGTGGTCTGTCTCGTTGGCTAATAGTTGCGATGTATGACAAAAACGTCGTGTTTTCGATTCCCGCCAGGTTTCCAGTTTCTAATTTAACTAAAGATCTTTTGACACTGTTGTTTTCTAAAGGAATTTGGATAGAAGATCAAGTGAATGAGAAATTTAAGCGTGTTTTAGTTTCAGTCCATGATCTTTCAAAATCGAAATTCAAAATAGCTTGAAAACGCATCTTCTTTAGATATTTTATGGCTGGGATATTTCTCATTTAAAGAGAACACAGCGAATTCTATGTTTCGTCCCTAAATATGGCCTCATTACCTAGGATATCCACATACTTAGCACTGTTTTTTTATATCTCTACGGTTTTCTCTACAGTACTAGATAGCGTTCGAAAAATATTGTTATTTTTCTTAACAAGCAGTGCTAAGTACATATAACTAGATTACACAAGTTACATTAAAAAACACAAGACATCCCAAGTACTATATTTCAATGTGGGTACGTCCAACTTCACTTTCTATCACGCAACGTACAAATAACTTTATTATCTGTTAATAACATCTCAGCTGATTGATGTGTAATTATAGGCGACCGATGGTGGATGCAAAAAATTCTATAAACTTTTCTATTGTATCTTTTTAGTTAGAGAAAATGTCTTTGACATTCTGTGTTACGTAATAGGAAAAAGTTTTAATAACAAAACACTTTAAAGGTTAAAAACGTAAAATGTATTAGTAAAATAATTTGTAAACAAGTTTGACTTACATATTACATGTCTTAAACTGTTAAAGTGCTTTATTTAAATGTATAACTCGCGTAAACTACAGACAGTATTTGAGTTTTTAGAAGTTTTGTTAACTTAACAGACAGACATTTTTATTACTAGCCAAGTGTAAATCACTCTACTGTGTGTTGCTTGTCAAAATGTATATAAAATCTTTCAAATCATAATTAAAGTTTTTAGTAACTATGACCCATTGAAATAGTGTTTTTTAAACTTATTATATTCTGCTGCAGCAATAACTTTTTCATCGTCGTTTAAACTAAAGAAGAAATTAATACAATATATAAATTATGTTATTACGCCTACCCAAGAACATCTTCACAACATCGTTAGTCTACAATTTATAAGGCTGCCATTACACAGTTACAAACTGTTACCATTACTGTTTTGACGGGCTCGTTGGTGGTAGCAATGTATTCCAATCAACGGGTCATGGGTACAATCCCCACCGAGTCCAACATCATTTCTAATCAAATTATAATTTTTTTGAGCATGTTGGATTTCAACTGGAAATGTAAATATTTAATGGGTGGTAGAAATATCGAATTTCCGTTCGAACCACCGTCCACAGATGCAAAAGTTTAATGCGTGTCGATTCTGTCGATTATGAAATTTTCAAAGACAAAGATAGTTCGACATCGCATCTCGTTTAGATGTTATATACTGGTGTTTCACCTACCATCAAGTGACGTCACGCTTGTTCGTCCTCTTCTATGATAAAAAAAAATACTGAGGTAACCGTGGTTTTGATTTTGTTAACGGTATTGTCAACGCACTGTTTTACAGCGCTTGTTTACATAACTTAACGGCATTTATGGATATTTATAAGACGCTTCATTAGCATAGCTTTTTTTTGCTTGAATAGAAAGCGTTAGGTGAGAGACTTGTTTCTTTGGTAATACGTAAAAGACTCATTAGTCTGATTTAGTACTTTTTGAGAATGGTAATGTCATAGAAATAAATCGTCAATTACCGTTTATTTTGTACTAGCTGTGCGCGCGACTTCATCCGCGTGGAATAGTGATTCGGAGTAAATTTTTTAATTTATGTAAGGGTGTATTAAGGCAGCCAATCTATGTTGTAAGTGCTACTTCGCCGCGACACTCTCATCTCACATCACTCCTACTCTAACTCCCACTCTCATTCCTACACTCACTCCCACTCTCACTCTTACTCCTACTCTTATTTCCAAAAAGCCAAATAGAAAGTTTAATTGTTCTACCTTCAAGAACCACGAATTTCCATACAAACTTTTAAACCCTTTTTCAAGCCGTATCAACCCTTTTTTGGCATTAAAAAGTTTAGCCTATGTCCTTTTCTCAGGCTCTAAAATATCTGTGTACCAAATTTCATTTAAATCAGTTCAGTAGTTTCGGAGTTAAAGCAGGACAGACAGACAGAGTTTCTTTCGCATTTATAACATTAGTATAGTAGTATAGATTATGAAAATCTAAACTCTGTTGGTTACTAGAACACCAATTATATCGGTCTAACCAATTACATTATTATAATTTCCACACGTTAAAGACGCCCTATGAAGTTATAAAAGCATTAAGATTTAAAAGAAGAATGTTGACATTGTTTGTCGTCGTGGATTTGAGTCGATTTTTTTTTTCAATCGAATCTTTTACTAATAATTTAAAGTTTAAAACTAACGTACTAACAAACTTGAATAACGGTGTATCGGCAGCCTAAGAGGGAAGTTCAGTACTCGTTAAGAGTTCATAAAGCGACCAATTGATAACCTCTTAGGATGTTGCAAGTTAAATTAAATGAGTTGTGTATAGAGACCTAAAAAGTCTGATTAAATCCAGGTTATGAGGACTGTTTATGAGGAACTGAGACAGACAAAATTATTTTTATTATTACCAGACTTTGGCATAGAAAATATTTATTATTTCCTGTTGTAAAAGTGCCTATTCCTTTTTGATGGTGTGAATGCCTAATGCACGCCCACGTCGGGCAATATTTATTTATTAAAAAAAATATTGAAACAGTGGTACTGGAACGGAGCTCTTCATGTGTGAGACCGACTCGCACTTGACCGGTTTTATTTGAAGAATATTTATTGCGCGGAACACGCTTAGAACGAAAGTGTACTTCGTGATTCCTGCCTATAAATCACCCGGATAAGTTATTCATAAATAGTCGACGATTGCGTTACCATAGACAAAAAGAGTTCGTTTTGAAAAGGTCGTATAACTCATATGAAGTCGGTATTAAGTCGTTTTTTAATAAAGGAATATAACTTAAATCAAATTTATTGTGACAACAAGATAATAAATCTATTTACGTTTAAATACTGTTACAGTTGCGTTATGGATTCCGTGTAGACTAAAAAAGCTAAATAAAAATATTATCTTTGCATTATTGTGGCGTTTAAGTATCTCTCGAGTAAACCCGATATTTGACTTACTTCTGGCATCAATAAAATAGTAAATTTTACCTGAGCTTGTTTGAGCCGATGCTCGGTACGGTGTACGGCGAGCAATGGTGTAACACGCACGAGCAACCGCCACCAGGGCCAGTCACGGACCGCGAGGAACGCGCGAACGTTGCGTTGAACACATCTGAAAAAGATAAAATGTTTACTTACAAAAAGTACAAAAGAATTTCTTATAATATTCATGCATTCACTGTTTAATACGTTTAGTAATACTATACTTCTGAAATACCTAGATACTAATTTATGTCCCCACCTTACTGATCAATTGGATAACCTTTTTCTTAAAAGTAAAAAAAAAGAAAAGTAATTTACGCTCGCTTCGAAAATTCAATCATAAACTAGCAATTTCTTTGTAAACTAGCAATTGACGATAAGATATATTCAGGGTTAAAAAATTTGTCGAGTTCGAGTCACAAATGTCAAGCAAAGTTGTTATCTTATAAGTCTACTTTCTATGTAAACTACTAATAATAATTTAATTAAACACTTTTGAACGGTTTAAAACTAGAACTGCTGATGCGTGTTGTTTCCCCATGACCACGGCCGGTGCAATATACAATTAATACATTTGCGTTTAAAACTGTTTAAAGTTAAATTTAAACTTAAATAATTATTAGTAGTTTAAATTAAAAGTAAATCTATACGATAAAACTATAGACCGTTCTTACTATAAATTATAAAAAACTTTGTGAATTTGGGAGTAAAATCTGAATTTACCTGGCAGCAGTGTGCTGGGTCCGCAGTTTCTGTGCGCGTCTGCGCGCGAGCACGCCGCGAGCACGAGCCTGCAAGCGTTCGAGCACGCGCCCGAACGCGGCGTCGCGGCGCGCATCAAGCTCGCCCACGACGCCGCCGCGGAACATAATCTGTAACAAGAAAGGATTTCAATCAGCATTTTATAATCTATACTAATATAAAGTTGAAGAGTTTGTTTGTACAAAGCGTGAAATTTAAGCAAGAGCGATCGAAGTCGTAGGTAACAGCTTAAATGTATAAAGACAAGCAAATACAAATTTCTATGCGCAAACTGATCATTCTACGCGTACAAAGTCGATGACACAGCAAGTGAGTAGGTACATGTGGTTTTATTAAAATCGGATTTCGGACCACCAACAATGGTACGGGGTAACATGGCTCATAAATACTCAAAGTAAGCGACTATGAATATATGCGTTTTCCAAATGCCAAAGTCAGTTTTGCATAAAAATCTATGAATAAAATGAACGTTATGCAAATAGTAATATTGTCGAGATAATGAGTGCAAGTGTATCGCACTTTTACTGCTTTAAAGCGGTGCGACGACCCGACGACGTATTACGGGGCTGTGACGTAAAAATATTTCTCAGTACTACGTTCACTTTCGCCGAAACTGTAACCACCGAGACCTCGGTTAAGTCACTGGATTTACAACTAATTTTAATACCTAGATATTGTGACGGGCTCATTAGTGTAATGGTAGCAATGTACAACTAATTAACGGGTCGTGGGTTCGATATCCATCGGGTCCAACATGTTTTCAATTTGCAATTTTTCTGAAACATGTCGGACTTCGTGTGGAACTCTGGCTATGAAGGTCACGAAACACCATCCTCAGATAAACAACCGTAAAGTTTAATCGAATTTCGGTGTCAGTCAATGGATTTCAGAATATCGAAAGCCAAATTAAGTCGACAGCGTGCATCTTGCTTAGATGCTATAAGTGTCAATGGTATTTTATCTACCATAAATTACATCCCATGTTTGTCTTTCCTATTACTAAAAAGAAAATTTTAATAGTAATGTTTACTAAAACGCCTTCTACGCTAAATTGAGTAAGCAAGTTGGTACTAACATACATTGAGAATTAAAATTCCTACATACATAAGTTTACGTACTATACAGATATCGTAATTATTATTTTGTCATTTGTATTTGTCTCGTGCATAAATACATATGTTTCAAACAGCTATGGGTTATCTGATGGTAGTCTAGTGTCAGCTATTTTGGCCTATAACTAAAGGGTCGTAAGTAGCTATGTATGGACAATATTTATAAAACTAGCTGTGCCAGCGATTTCGTCCGCGAGAATCGTTATTTTCGGTATCCAAATTAGTTCCTGTAAACCCCGTCATCTTTATAAACTTAAGCACGAAGTCGATCGCGTCTCTTTCTGTCGTTCTTGCAAGTTAATCTTAAAAGATAGACATATAGCGTCGCGTTTTTTAAAGATCATTTGAAGAGGAATCATTCTTTTATACACATTTTTAGGTATCTTGAACCGATCTCGCAGCTTACGCATCTGAAACCCACAGAGTTAAAATTCCTCGTTTTGTTTACATTTCCCGCTGTATCTTCGCTTCTATGTGTCACAGCGCGATGCCGCGAGCTTGTAGCCTATAGGCTCTAGGCTACAAACTCCTCGATAAATGCTCTAATCAACAAAAAATATTTTTCAAATCGAACCAGAACCTGAGATTAACGCGTTCAAACAAACAAACAAACTCTTCAGCTTTATATATTAGTATAGATAACAACAACGTATTGTTATCATCTCATTCTGACTAGCTAATATTAAATATCGAGTTTTCGTAAGTTAACGATACCTATGTGTAAACAAAATCTTTTGTAAGCTAACATTAGTACGTTTTACAAAAACAATTAGCGAAACATTAATTACTCGCTTTCCAGTTTCCACATACATAAAACGAAAGTTAAACAACATTCTTGGGCCCTTTTAAACAATTACGCGCATCTATTGTGACCGTCATGTAACGAATAAGTGTAGCGAGTAGTGACCCACTCCAGATACCAATGACAAACTATAGTTGCTCCATTCGTCCCACTTGCGCAAGAACAGTTAAGGAATTATGTATGGATATTTCCGAAGGCGAATTAATTAATTAAATTTATAAAACAATTGAAGCGTTTCGAATCTTTCACTATGGACTTTCATGATTAATTGATTATTATCAGTTCCATTGAATGCCAATTTTAAAATTACACAGATTATGTAGCATCACCTTGTAATTGACTAGAAGAAAATTCATTCGAAAATTAAAAAAAAAACTATCTTGATTTCCGGGATAATTGTTAAGCAGGACTGTCGCATGAAGAATAAAATACAAATACCCAGTAGTTGATAAGTCTTTATAGGAGGGATGCATAGACCTATTAAGACCAGGGGCCATTCGGGAAAATCAAGAATTAATAATAATGTATTAAAATAAAACACTTTAACGTTTAAAACGCGATATATTTTATAGCCGTGGTCACGGGGAGACCAAAGCATCCGAAACGTCTGGCCGTAGTTAAAAATAATGTATTAAATTTGAAAAAGAATCTATTAATCTGAGTATTATCATTGCTGTCACCGGGCCACCAGTAGTCAACCGGCGAGCCGCGGTCTGTTCACCAGTGCTTTATTGCTATAATTCATTTTCAATTTATGAGGTTTGCTTCAAGATTTAAACGTGGTATCCATATATATATATAAACCATTGCGTACGATACCAGTCGCGTGACTAATATTAATTAGTAAAAAAAATAACCTTTAAATAAAAGCAAGATAGTGTAAACCGTGCTTAGTTCTTCTCGATGCAAACATTCACACGCCCAGAACGAAACAAAGCCATAAACGCATCAAGACTGGTATTGTCTTATGCCTATTAGGTGATAACTATTTATAACTAGGTATTGTGTTTTGATCGTTTATATCCTGTGCTTAGCAAGATATCAGATATCGTGCTGTAACAGCATTTGATACTCGAAGCTTAATGAGATTTTAGTATGCATTTATAATGTGTACTTTTAATAGGTCTTGGTGTTTTAGTAATGATAAAATTACGATACATAATAAGTTTTTCGTATTCTGTTGCTATTTATATTATACTTTTTATCAGTAGGCCAGTAAGATATTAAAATAACCGAATCCTGGGTCGGGCAAAGTCTTACGTCGGTATGCAGTAATTTAAAAAAATATTAATACAAGCCTGGAGTATAGAAGTAGGGGGTTCCATCACCCTCGTACCTTGTAGAAGAGGTATAGTCGTCCCAGCTAACGTCACAAATGTAGTGGCTAGTCGAAAGAACCCACCCATCCACACCGGAGTAGTGTATTGGATCTTAGCTCTTCAAAACAAAGGTGAAAAGAAACCTAATCAGTGGGTCATTTGTTGACACGATGTTTCCTTGTGAAAAACACGTGTAGTACGAATAGGTACACAAGTAATTAATGCAAATATGCTATTTATATCCGTTCCGATGACCGATTGAACTTTATCTCGGATCTGAGCCATCTGAGCCAATCGCGGTGATAAGCGTTTCCGTTACGTTACTTAACGATCGTGTTGACCAACTAGACGTGACTATTGGTTCGCCTCTCTATCGATATGTGTCAAAACTACATTTTTATTGCATCGTGCTCTACTTATATCTTTTGGAATGTACCTACGAACTGATTTAGAAACTGTGCTTGAAATAGTTTTCCTTATCGGCTACTAAAATACCAAGAAGCAAAATTTATTTAACGATATTATATTATATTGTCTGTATAGCCATCCAAAAAGGTATACTATCGGTACTTTTGATCTGAGAAGCTTTTACTGCTGTCTATAGTTTACACGAGTAGTACACATTGAAATGTAACATTTTAACGATTTAAAACGCGATATATTAAAAATGATTTTTATCATTTTCAAATAAGTTTAACTAATATATCGCGTTTTTAACCGTTAAAGTGTTTTATTTAAAAGCTTTTATTGCTATGAAAAATATCATTTCCCTCAATCTTCGAGATGAATGTATGCGGTTCTTAGATATAGATTATTAGCTATAAGTTAGTCTTAAGGCAATAAATAAATAAATCTTTTAAAATGTTGCCTAACCAAACCTATAACAAAAATGTCTAAGCAGGTTAATTTCAATATTAAAACATACATGAAGGACAAAACACTTATGTATTTAAATTCTTCTCAGTTGGAACAATGTAAAGATATTTTTCAGATAATAGAAAAGATCGTAAGTTAGTATACAAACACAAAAAGTAGAATTACAGGCTGTAATCGGAAACCCTTAAACGTGATATAATCTTTGTATCAACATGTTCTTTGATTGCACGAAACAATGGCCGACGTTCAATACTTGAATGGAAGTTTAAAAAAACTCGATTAAACGATGGTAGATACCTTTTTATTGTTGACACGCAGCTGGCAAATGAAACACGAAATTGTAATTTAAAAGTCGTGAAAAACGTAATAGTTTTCCCCTGAGGCAAGGTTAAATAAAAAACATACAAGGTGAATTAAGAAAATTAAAAAAATGTAAGATCGTATAGCATGACACATATACTTAGAATAAATTTGAAGAAATAAAAAAAAAGCCAAAGAAAAATCATTTTGACGGTCCTAATGCTTTTCCAGCATACACACACGTCAATTTACGATAATTAGAACAGACGATTAATTAAATTATATTTAACAAAAAAGAAATTATGAAATAAAGGTAAAAAATAAAATAATGCACATTTATTTCTATATATACAGCAAAAACTGCTTTACAGGTGTTAATAATTTTGCACACTGAGCAATTTATGTTAGGATTATTGTAAATTCATCGCTAAGCCCCGGGTACAAAATTATACACTGACATATAACAGTTCCATATTGGTATTCAACATCGATTCTGTCTCAACATACCTCCACGTCACACCAGCGACGCGTTGCGAACTAACAATTGTTGAAATTTTACCATTTTCCAATGTATGTATTAGCAAGAACATCGACCTTTAATCTCGACTTTTTATGGGTATTTGAGAATTAAGCGGAGATATAAAAAAGTCATGCTTATTAATATACAGTATAATATTATGTGGGAACGAAAAACAAGTTATGTTTCGTTCGTGAGAATGCACTATAATATTTTTAATTTTGTCAGATGTATCCCAGATTTTTATCTCAGTTTTTCTCTTTTAAGAAAATTAAAAACTATTTTCTTTTCTTTATGTAGACTTCACCTACTTACTCTCTTAACATTTACACTACCAGAATGGTCCCGGTGACCATAGACTTGAAAATTGAAAAAAATTAAGAAAAAAAGATAACTGACACAATTATTCCGGTTTTGTAAACAAAAGAAAGTCTCAACTACGAGTGTCTTGGTAAATTATGATCGTACCAAACATTTCACTTACTTTGGAGGAAGGAAGTATAATTATTATTTTTATATACTCACATTTTTATTTTCTGCATTATTGAATAAAATTTCTAGGTTCTTGTGAAAAAAAGGACAACACGTTTTGAAGTTAAGGATGGTTTTAGTGTGTTTTGTTTACTATTATAATTTTATAAACAGATAAGGTTATTTTCAGTCTGTTGTTCATACCATTTGTATTATTTAAATAAGTGTTACGTGACACCTTGTCTCCATAGAAGTCAAAACAATATTGTGACAACGTCGTTAATCGAAAAATAAATCAATTTATTTGACTTGGCGAGATGATATAATAAAAATGACCTTCAAACAATTGCATACTCAACGGCGCATGGCCGACATTAGAGCTGAGATGCTAATAAAATTGCGTTTCAATTATTATAACAGCACCTACATAATTGTGTTATGAAATCTTACTGAGACAGACAAGCATGAGGTTAGCTTGGTAGGTATATGGTATACCATATACCATATATGGCAGATGATATACTCCAGCCTATAGCTTGTAAACAAAATGCGCTGTGGTGGATGGATGGTGGTTCGTGATCCGGACGCAATTTCTATATTATCCAGCCATTTAATATCCACATTTCCAGACGAAGTCCGGGACGTTTCAGAAAAATTATAAATTGAGAAATTAGATATGTTGGAGTTGATGGGGATAGAACCCACGACTCGGTTATCATTAGCCATACATTGCTACCATGAGACCGACGAGTCTTGCCATGCCTTCCCCGAGGCAAGGCGCAGACACATTTAAATGTTTGTTTTGCTAATCGAATTTTAAGGCACGGAGTTGATCAGACTTCCGTGCCCTGTTCCTCGCGTACGTTTCCTTGTGATTTCTTATAAACGTAAAGCTTAGAAATATTATAACATAATTGTATAGTAGGAAGAAAACAGTAAGACAATAAAACCTCTTCTGCACTATTGGCATGGAAGTTTCTCAAAGTAATTTTATATAACTAATGGCAAAATTGAAAACAAAAAACTGGGTAACATAAGTTTCCAATACACCTTAAGACTGTTATATTAATTTCTAGTGAAGATACAAAGAAATAAAGATGAAAAAAGAAAACACAAGAAAATATCTAATTTTGTCTTGACAATAGCTGTTACTTGGGTTATTTTTATTATTAGTATGGTACAAATTGGAGTAATTGATGTCGGCGACCATTAGTCGATAGGAGATTGTAGGCCGTTCGCTTGTTATAACATATTATCAGCCACCTGCAGAGGCGCGATCTGTTAGTACAATCTAGGGATGCCAAAACAATAATAGAATGTGTAATAAAATGATATTGCACCGAATTAAACATATGGAAAATATTATCTACTAATTAAAAAAAAACCCTTTTACCTACTTTAAGACGAGATATTTAAGTTAAATTTATTTTGACTTTGACATAAAACACTCTCCACTTAGTATGAACATGATCATAGTAATTGCAAAGCATCCGAAACGTCAGACCATAGATGGCCATAAATTAAATAAAAATAAGTTTGATTAATATATTTCACATTTTAAACGGTTAAAAAAATGTTGTTATAATATTTGAATTTTTATAATCTGTCTGTTTAATGATACCACGTATTTCATTAAAAGCGCTTGAAAAAAATTGTCATTATTTTTATTACCTTGCAGTGGACGGTAAATTTATTTACATTTTAATTTTATGCCTATGAAATTCTTGCTAGTACGTAAATAAACTACAGATAAAGTGACAGCCCTAAGCACACACTCGCGTTTGCTCGTAAATTACTCAAACAATTTGTCCACAACGAGAGCTCGCAAATTGTAGCCGTTTCTAATAAATACGTGTTAGAGTTGGAGAATGCTTCGTTCGGCGATGAGTTTAGAAATTCACTTGATTCCTTACATGTACAGCTAAATATACGCTTAGCGTGAGAAGATTGTTCAGCAGAAACACAATAGAGGTGTAAAGACCTTTTTTGTTTCAGAGTAATTACTAATTATATTTGTGCGGACAAAAACAGTTTGGATACAAAGCAATGACTTGAGTGGTGTCTTTAATTTAAGATTTTGTATTTTTAGTCATATTACTACAAGTTTAATATTAACATTATTACAAAGTATCTCATCCAATAGTGTGTAAAATACGCAGTGTGAAATATTCAAAACTTTTTTTTGTAATTAAATACTGTCTATAGTTTACGCGAGTAGTACACATTTAAATAAAACACTTTAACGGTTTAAAACGCGATATATTAGTTAAACTTATTTGAAAATGATTTTTAACTTGGCCGACGTTTCGGATGTTTGCAGCAGCCGTGGCTATAGTTTAGCGAGTAGTACACATTTAAATAAAACACTTTAAGGTTTAAAACGCGATATATTAGTTAAACTTATTTGAAAATGATTTTTAATTCGGCCGACGTTTCGGATCTTTAGAGGTGTCTGTGACAGGCTGCTGCAAAGCATCCGAAACGTCGGGCCGAAGTTAAAAATCATTTTCAAATAAGTTTAACTAATATATCGCGTTTTAAACCTTAAAGTGTTTTATTTAAATTCTTTTTGTAATGTCAACGCTGAATATCTGTTTTGAATTGAATTACTGAAACCTAATACTTCCATATTAACACTTCTATATGTAATAAGTAACGTAGTTTGCAAATAAGGATGTCACGTTATGTTATTTTATAATCATTTAATTCTTATAATGCAAAATCAGTGGTCCTTCGTGAATCATTCGTAATATCTGCAGTTGGCGCGCCTGGTTTACATTAAATAAAAACCGTTAAAAACTCTTATTAGGTCATGTCATAATTATAAATAAATTGCATATAAGTTTCGTGATTTAGATCGTAAATTGTTTTAATTAACTCCAACCGTCATCTCTAAAGTAACGTCATTACCGCTTGTCGAGACAGTAATCCACATTGTTTACCAAAACACGTCTGCGCATAACAATGACTGTGATATCATTAAGAAAACATCCGCTGCGAGAAAAGGACATGACTCGAGCAGGGAAAGCTCTACGTGATGCGCATGCGCCGGGGAGAGATTATTGTCTACGTGAGCCACCTAGCAAGTACCCCACTATGAGTTTACGTATTATCGCTAATATACGCGGAAACAGTCACATTTCTAGAAATCTCGCTTTCGTGTAGATTTCGAATTTACACTACGTTTGAAATTTGAATCTATACTTGTTTATAACAGGTGCATGTTTATGATTATGATTTTCAATGAAATATAAGACTCAAGTTAAAGTTCAGTGAGTTAATTTATTTATTACATTCATAAATCAAACTTAAGCTATCGTTTCCTATCTATCTAAATTAGTTAATTAAAAGTACACATTTTAATAGAATGTTCGAAAAATTTCAGACATCCAACCGTGACTACAAGAGCTGGAAATCTGGATATTAAATGTGTGGTAGGAATATCGACATTCCATCCGGGTCACGAACCACCGTCTACAGATGAAAAAGCCGTGAAGTTTAAACACATTTCGGTTTCAGTCTGTGGATTTCCGAATATCCAAAGCCGAAATAGATCGATGGCTCATCTTGTTTAGATGCTATAGACTGGGGTATATCATGTAACATCAAGAGAACCAAATGCTTGTCTGACCTCCGCTATCATAAAAAAACGTCGGAAATATCCGTTCAAATGTTAAAAATTAGCCAAGTAATATATTTCGCCTTATAAACTGTTAAATGACGAAACTACTAGTATCAATATATATCCTTGTATAGTTTCATACAAAATCCGTAAATAGTAGACGTAGTACGTTACAGGAATCGTAATTTCATTAAATAACACAGGGAAAGGCATTACGCAATACTCTCGAAGATGATGGGTAACTATTGTTTAGAATTCAATAAGAGTGAAACGCGGAATCGGAAGTCCATATTAAAAAGACTTATGTCATTTTAAACATTAGTTAAAGTAAAAATTTATCTTATCTTAATTATAACTTATATGAGGCATAAGCAAACTATCATCTATACTAATATATGCTGAAGAGTTTGTTTGTTTGAAAGCGCTAATCTCAGGAACTACGCGTGGGAGTTGAATTTTTGTGTTATTTAGAGCTTTTATCGAGGAAGGCTATAGGCTAAAAACATCGCCCTGTCACTAATACAAGTGAAAAAGCGAAAAATGTAAAAAAAAGCGGATTTGAAAATCAAGAAAATTTCATCGATGCGGGTTTCCGTTGCGTACGCTGCAAAACGATTCAAAATACCCAAAAAATATGTATGAAAGAATAATTCCACTTTAAATTATCTAAAAAAGTGTCCGCGACACTATACTTCTATCCTTTACGATAAATTTCCGTGGGGGACGCGACCGACGAAGAGGAGGTTTGCATAAAAAAAAACTATCCTTAAAATAACTATTCTACGCGGACGAAGTCGCTTGCATAGTACAAAATAAAACTGAGAAAACATGTATAAATATTTATACAATGCGTCGATGTATAAAGCATACATTTAAAATATTAATTGTAATGCAAGAAAGCCGCTCCATATAAAACGTGAAAGTGAAGAGCTCTATTAAAATGAATTACGAGAACACCGATTATGGTCGATTAAAATTATAAAATTACGTGTTCGCCTTCTGAAAATTTCATACGACGATTTAAGATAAAATGTTATGAAAAGGTACCCAATATGTATTTTTACCCTATTAGGTCTTCTTGATTTCACGAATAAATTTGAAATACAAGGACGAGACTAACTCGAGAACATATCTCTCTTTTAGCAGGCGTATAGGGTTCATTAATATATATTAAAAATCAATTTGGATTGAAAAAAAAATGACGACACTGACATGTCTTGAACCCGCATCTACCCCCCCTCCCCCCCGTACCGTTGTTCTATCTAATTGAGTTACCGTGGCTAACCTTAAATTAAATGATAAGTTTAATCCTTAGATCAAACCAGGCGATAAAAGTTAAATATTAAAGAGAATAACAAAGCAAATAAAAATATATTTAGCTCAAACATATAACGGACACATTATTTAAATGCGTAATATACCAATGGAATTACAATGAAGGAAAGTGATGGCAGAAAGCGACAATAGTATTTCGACACTGGGGATTTGAATAATTACGACCTTTTCACAAGAAACTCCGATTGTGAAATGGAATTGATTTTATATGTAAAAATAGTGCACACAGCAGTTTTATAAGCACTATAATTCATAGATAATTCGGGTTGTATACTGTCTATTAATTAAAAACCTCTCTGCTAGATGGAGATGGGGAAATGGGTGAAATGGTCAGCAGGTGGTGTGGAGTAATCACGGCCTGTAATGGGTGTCCCCGATAGGGAATAATAATCTATCAATTCATTATTTTCGTATGATATAACCAATACATTTCTTCGGCTTATATACCCAAAAGAAAAGAGCCTAAAAGAAATTTATTTGAAAAATATTTTAACTACGGCCAAACGTCAACCAGGACTGAACACATGGCGCTAGTAGCGTAGCGGTTTTTACTTTGACATAAGAGAAACTCCCCAACTTTAGTTTCCCCGTGACCATAGCTCCTGCAAAGCATCCGAAACGTCGGACCGTAGTTAAAATCAGTTTAACTACTATACATCGCGTTTAAAGCCGTTAAAGCGTTTTATTTAAATGTGTACTACTGCAATCTACAGACAGTATTTAGAATGAAATCTCTTAATTGATGTAAGAGTTGATAAATTAACTGAAAAACATGGTCTCTTAGTCTTTTTTATAAAGATTTCAAATCATCGCTATAAATGTGCTATATGCAAGGTATATTTATATTTTTTGTAGGAAGTGACGTAACAAATAAAAACTTGAAATGCCATTTTGATCAAGAATCTAGGTGTAAGAGTGTTGCACACATTAAAACAACTTTGGATAAACGTGGACATGTTATGTAAGCATTACGTAGTGTTCTTCGGGTGCGAGCTTATAAGGAACTTATGCCTCAGTTATATAATTGAATGCTTTCGTGTTAATCAAACATTTAAAGACACAAAGAATGCCGGTAGGAAGTTGCATAAGTTGCCGGTATGGGCAACACGAATTCAGTCATAAACCAATTGACAGACAAACTCCATATTTCGATGCAAATTTATGTATTTTGATTGGTTTCGTGTTTTTTAATGTTATCTAAGAAATTTGCATAAACGTAATATCCATCAATATTATTGTGAAATGTGTCAATAAGATCTATCGTAATTGATGGAGTTTCGATGTGCCTAAAACCTACGTAATTAGTATGTCAGAGATTGTAAGGATGATAGTTGGCTACTGTTTTACGTCGCAATAGCTGAACAGATTTTGATGAAACGTGAAGGTAAACTGTAATATAGAGAGTCTTTAATGTTATTAGATATAAGAGCTAGCGGACAAAATAGTGAATGTCGTAATATGTATATGAAATGACACCAATTCTTATCACGCGCCTACAATGGCATTCGTCGGTGAAGAGTAGGCAACGCAAAGTATTTAATTTCATAATTGTGTTACGCATTTATGAAAAATACACGAAATATTAAAAAAAAACTTATTACATGGAAAAAAAGTTGGAATGATTTGTGCGTTAGAAATTTAATGTGTTATTTTTGTGATTGCGTCTCTGGAATCGAACCAGGCGAGAAAAACATGTAAATGAAAAAGTTTATGCGGGTCGCGACCTCATGTTATGTCAGACTTAGGCCGTAATTTGTAATTATCGATATGTTGACAGTGTCGCGTACCTGTTCCTCCACTTTCGGCTCGACAGTGGTCGCATGGGTACCGCTAGCGACCTCGTTGGAGCGCGCACGCCTCGTAGGCCGTACGGGGCAAACGTTCGTGTCCTCCAAATCGCTCCTAAACGGTTTCGGCTGGCTGAATATTTTGCAATCGGCCACATCGACTTCCAAAGGGCTCAACTCGCGCACGTTGTCGTACAGCACGTCGCTGTCGTTCACCGCGTCATTAGAAACGTGGCCAGAGTCGTCGCTGCAATCGGAGTGCGTATCTGATATTTTTTCCTCGCTGTGCTTATGCACGGGAAGTTTCTCCTGTGAACATATTTTACTGTCATCTCGCGATTCGACGCATCGTATTTGACGGCCGACGAGTGTGCTCAAATGATTGTGAAAAGTGGTGTTCGCGACGCACAGAATTTTGTGCTCGGGCGGTATAACTTTGCAGCTCACAAAGTTAGGCTCGTTCCTCAATTCGGAAGCGGTCTTGCATTCTAGTCTCTTAACGATATTTCTGACAGGTGACAGCGACGAATCAATGCTCGTTTCGTTTTCATTTCGCTTATTGTCACAGATTCCAATTACGAGGTCTCTTTTGTTGTTATTTTTTTTTTGTTGTAACTTGGCACGTATAGCGTTGATTTCTTCTGAATAGTCTCGCGGTGACAATTTCGGTGAGGATATTGCCTTTTTGTCGAGGGCATCTTTCTTGGTTTTATCCGTTGACCGCTTCGCGTCCGCCTTTAGATTGAGTTGCGACTTTTGTTTTATTGGCTTGATTAGATCTGGTTTCTCTGTGCTTTTCCTCGAGATTATTAGCTTCTTTTTCTGAACACACTCTCTGGCCTGGTCTAAGTTGTTTAGATCAACCGGAGTGGGAGAAAACAGTGCTCTGGTGCTGCTAAACTTATTTTGTGACATTTGACTCCTTATCACCGGGATCTTACTGGGAGAGCCCGCGATAGAAGTGGACGATTTTGTCCTTTCCAAAACAGGTGATTTCATCGACTCGTTTCCTATTTCCCAAACACTCTTAGCTTTTTGCATCCTTGATCTCGGACTGCTCTCCGCCGATGGCTTAGCGTTTTCCGGGCCGAGTTTGGTTTTAATCTTTTTTACTTCACTGCATTTTTTGTTATCACTTTTCTTGGGACTTAGCTTCGTTTTGTTTACCACGGGTACTGGCGAAGAAGGTGGGTTAGATAGAGTCTTTTTTAAAATCCTTGTTTTTACATCAAGCTTTTTCAAGTCCTCGGTTTTTATACAATTTGGCCGCGACGGAGATTTAGAAGAAATTTTGTAAGTAGCATATTTATCGGAGTTCACTTTATCACTCGGTGGTAGCGATAGAGGCTTTAAAGGACTCGTTAATTCTTTCCCCTTCATATCGTCGAGATTCCACAAGCTCGTAGTTTTATCGATAGAATTTTTCCTAGATAAATTACGCACTTTCCTGTCACTCTCGGGATCGGAATTAGTCTTTTTGAGAATACAACGCGACTCAATGATACTACAGGTCTTTGACTTTTGTAGCTTGGGCACAACGAAGTTCGGATTCACGTTTAAATTAATTTCTGGGGACAATGACGTGCTCACAGTGAATTCCGATAAAATTTTATCGAACGACTCCAATGCCTTATCTAATTTTGACTCCGAATTAGGGTCGCTTTCGACTTTTGCCTCAGATTCAGTTAGCTTACCGAACACTGTAATGTTTTCGTAAATAGATGAATATCCTTTAGACTCCTCTAACAAGTTGAAACTTTTCGAAAAGACAGTCTCCGTTCTTGGAAACTGAACATTTTCATACGCGTGGTGCCGCGGTTTTACTTCAGCGCTATGTACGGAGTCACAGATAAACTTGGCCGCGTAGTTTTTAACGTGAACGTTATCACTAGAAAGTTTGGCTGGCTCACTAATCTTCTTCTCTAGATGGGCAGCGATAGCAGTGACTTTGCCGCCTTTGTGCTCGGTCGAGATTTCGGGTGCAACTGAAAAAGTCCTGTAGAACTTTTGCGGGGCCGAATTAGCGGGGGGTGAAGTGGATCGCTTCTCGGTCGGCTTCTGCCCACCGAATATATTAAACACTTTCACTGCGGGCATGTCGCGGGCCCGGCGCGCGGGCTGTCGCCTTCGCGAAGCGTGGATGCGAGCGCGCGTCACGACGTACGGCGTGCATGTGCGCCGGCGCAACACAACTCACTGCGCTCTCATATCAGACGCCACCATAGGAAAGTCAATGTCATAAGCGAACAAGTGTTTGTATTTGTCAATAAGTTTGTAATATTATAATCGTGTACAGCGGTAGCTAAGTGAATGTTTACATTTTTGTTGAATTGATGTAATAATATAATGTTGTAATGGTATGTTGACGTAACTAGGATTTGAGGTTTATCGAATTCTAGTCACAACCTAAATCTGCCAATTGTAACATTAAAATGAAATAAGGTTAAATAAACACCGGTGTTTCCACGGAGAAATAGTTTATAGGTTGTCTTTAAATTCCGTAACCCGGTTACTCGGTTTTTGCAGAACAAACGGGTACAGAAATATAGTGACATAATAAAAAAAACGAAAATTTTTTAAGACACAAATACTTACTCAAAATCTTCAACTAACTTTAGCACTATGGCACACTTTAGTAACACAACTTACTACAGAAAACATGTTCATAATAAACACATTATCCTGATAGAGCCATCAAATATACTATAGTACACTAAGAGACCCAATTTCATTTAATTAAACCTTTACAACTCAACTCCTTGGGCAGCTAAGCAATTATCTCTTGCGAGTTCGTGGGGTCAAGTGGAAAGAAAAAAGGTTTTATCTTAATTGACACTTTGGGCTAATCACCTTTTATGTTATAGCTAACACGATTTACCTGTTTGCCGAAATAGTTAGGGGAACAAAATCAAACCCAACTAATGTGCTAAAGCCTTTTCTTTACATATTATTGTATTTACAATGTGAACATCTAATGTTTAAAGCTGTATTTTAAAATTAATATAATTTTATGATCAAGTTATTTGAATGTTTGTTAAACCTCTTGTTAATTTAAAGAAAACACACTAAACGGATTAAAACGCGATATATATTAGTAAATTTATATAAGTTTAAATGTGTACTACTTGCGTCAACTACAGACAGTATTTAACCTTCTGGTTACATATGTTTGTATGTTTTTGCTGATTTCCTCAAAAAAGAAATATACTGCGGAAATCTTAAGATTATCTCCAATAATTAGTTAACGTTACACAAAGCGAAGTATACATAGATTTTCCCGTTTCTTCGAAAACAAAACGCAATAGTTCGAAAGGGACAAAACATTTTCGTCATTATGAATTGAACAAAAGATTATGAACTACGTGAAAATTAAGATAAGTGAATGTTCAAGTTCACACTTTCTTTTCTGAGAAGGTACTGCGAATTCAATCAGTTCGTCTGTATAGATGTCAAGTCGAAAATTACATGTCTCTGTTAGCTCCTATTATCTCTACCTATTAATTATATATCTATTAAACAGTTCCGCACCTCAGCGAGTTTCTTATTCGTCTCCAAAGACAACGCTTTCTCACGATTTTCACTCAACGAAAGTGATGCTGGGACTATGAAGCAAATCTAACGAGTATGTGAAAAAAGCTTACGTGTAGATGCATAACAGGCAACATATTTCATGGTTCACGAGAAATAAAATAATGAAAACCCACAATTATAATACCTGTTTCTCTTAAAGCAAAATAGATTAATTGCTTTCCGCAGTTTATATATCAATTCAAACTAAACAAATTATTGGATTACAAAAATTGTAGTCTCTAGACCACGGAGTTTGGAGTTAAAAATCATAAAGAATTCTTAACTATTAGCTATTATTCCTTTAACAACCTAATCCTTGTTTAGTAATAACAAGCTGTGTCAGCGACTTCGTGGAATATATATTCCTAGAATAGTTATTTTGGCAATCAAATTGTTTTAGTAACCCTCCTCCACTTCTTTATACCTTATATCCACGACGTTGTCGGTTTTTTTGTCGTTCTTGCAAGTTAAACTTAATAGATAGACATATACTGTCGTGGACATTTTTTAGATCATTTCAAGATGAATCCTTCTTTGAAACATATTTTTTGGGTATTTTGAAACGTATTCGTAACGTACGAAACGGAGTCCAACAGGGATGAATAATTTTGCCCGTTTTTTTTTTTAATTTCCCTCTGTTTACTCGTTCCTATTCATCGAAATAAATTTTCAATTCGACCCCGTAGTTTCTCAAATTAGCGTGTACTAACAAACAAACTCTTCAGTTTTATATAGTAGTAAAGATAACAACCGAATAAAAATAGAGAAGTATTAAAATAACAAATAACTCATTAGCACATACAAAGACTAAGTATTAATATTGGTAAACAGTTACTAAGTATGATGTATGACCGAAGACACAAGAACCATGTTACCACCACATTATGCTGTGCACGAGTTCCTTTGAAAGAAATTTCTATAGTCAAACGTGATGTAAGAGGAAGGAAATTTTAAACCGATGCTAAGAAACAGAAATATTAAACGGTAAGCTGTAATAGGGTACAATAACGCAAGTCAAATATATTTTGTGTTTTCCTTTTTTCGCGCCTTACGATTTTGTCATAGCATATTTGCTTATGGAGATATTAGTCCTGTGTAACTGCAGTATGAATCTTGTTTTATAATCTCAACTATTTGAATCTACGATAGAAATATTTGATTTAATAAACCACAAAGTGCAGTTGCTGATGTAAACTAATCGTTTACATATATGTTATATCCTTCTAAACCACCACGGACTTAGTCAAATTATATCAAGAGATTACAGTTTGACCTCAATAAACATCTTAAAATAATCTTTTACAAGACAAAGCAAATTACTTGGTAATGAACTTAAATGAATAATAAAATCGACAATGAATAAGTTCACGCGGGTTCAACGCCCGCCCACGTCTTGTTAGTATTCCACGAGCCATGTCATCTGGCGAAATTAGACATGCATACTAAGTACATTCACAATTAAACTTAAGTACTGCACTGACAAAAAGCTTGACTCATATGGAGCCAAGGTAATGCAAGCAATAGCAATAAGGTTTGTCACCCTGCTCGTAAGTGTCAGCAAAGGCTTTGGTCATCTTTACATTAGTAAAGATCTAAATGCAGTACAAAACTATTAGAACAATGGGAACCAAGAATAAAAAATGTATACCTACATCACAAGTGCAGCATGTAAAGATGAGCACTTCAGCTTATTTTTACGCAGGATTAATCAGATAAACTAAAGACATTTAAATAAAACACTTTAACGGTTTAAAGCGCAATATATATTTTAGTTACACTTGTTTGAAAATTATCTTTACTACGGCCCGACGTTTCGGATGCTTTGTAGTAACCGTGGTCACGAAAGGACAGTCTCTTAAGTTTAACTAAAATATATCGTGTTTTAAACCGTCAACGTGTTTTATTTAAATGTGTACTACTCGTGTAAACTACAGACAGTATTGTCTATAGTTACATTAATCTAAGAAAATAAACAAAGCGCTAACTGTTGTGTACAGTGAGGAATTTTGCTAGTTTTTGTATCACAGGCGTTTTAAATTGTTGTAAACAAAATATGTCAAATAACAATATATTGATATATTTTTTTCTAATTAATAGCATTGTAAACATTTGTGATATACAATATTATTAGGTAGACAGATTTATTTGAAGATAATAAACTTATTTCCTTAGATTATGGCGAGTTAACAAAATTAGCATATCGAAAGTTAACAGATCGTAATGTATGGGAGTGGTCCAGGTTGAAATAACATCCCGATTATTCATAGACTTTCATACGGCGTAATCCTAGCGGAAGATATTTCGCATCGGGCACTGTTAGGGTTGACACATTTATATCACAAACTATTTTTTTATTTATTTAATATTTTGTATTATATACTTCTAACGTAACAAGTATGAAAAAGTTTAGTATGCAATCCGGGGAAATTAAAGCTTCAAACTAAGGCAATTTCAGTTTAGTTTACAAGATTCATGTTTACTTGATCATCCGTAACAATTTTGTTTTTATACAAACGTAACGATTCATAACAGCTTTAGTACAGTCAGTTATATGATTTAAAACCTTAAATAATGCTGTGATTTAAAACTCGATTGTCGTTTATTTTTGCTAGAGTGGCAGCCCTATGGGTAGTTTAACGTGGTTCTCATGTTATATACGGACACATAATTGGTATGAATTACAGTTTACCGTAAACTTGGTTTAATGTATTTTATACATAATTAATTGTATAAGAGTTCCGTTTAAAAGCTTCGTCTGACAGCTACACATTATTTACAAAGGACTGCCTATTTTGATAAAGAGAACTTCTTTGTTTTAGAAAGAAGTTGATTATCTATGGTGTTTGTTTATATATGCAGATTATTTGAATTTACCAAAAAACCCAATATCGACGCTAAGTAATAGTTTGACAACCAAACCAGATGCCTTTTCATTGGAATTAAAACTGCCATAAGAATTTAAATTATATTAAAATAAAATCTGATTTACGTCTGTATATATTTTTGTATGCTTTAAATAACTTTAAATTGCATATTTTGTGTACGTGAGAAGTGTCAATTGAAATAAAACTATTTTTAACGAGTAGAAACGCGACAGATTTGTCTATAGTGACTATGGCTGTTCGAAAGCACTCAAAACGTCGTAAGTAACATCAATTCTTTTAAACTGGTTCGCTTTAAAATATAACATAATGTACATTATAGACCTTATAAGATGTAACATCCTTAGATGAGTTCAAGTATAAACGCCCAAGGCGCTAGACCACCAGCATGGACTTGCGTTTCAAGTTTAATAATGCATCTTTCATGTTATTTATGAACATAATTTAAACGCTTCCTGGATATTCTCTTGTAAATATTTTAATGGCACGGAGTGGAAATAATTATTTACTTCTACGTTCTTACTTATGACTACGACGTAATATTGTTTATAAAAAATACAGATAAAGCAACACATGATTAAGTAAAAATTAGCCATACACAAAATGATGTTGTTGAATGTATTACAAAAAAATAATTCGGATTGT